TCATTTCCATTTAGAGGTCCATGCCGGAACTCCCATGACAATGGGAGCAAAGCGGAAGAGAGAATAAGAAGGCTAAGGGGTTTTCCATGACGTTTGGCATGAAAATGAGAAGGAAATGGGCAGGAGGTGGAGTTCAAAGATTTTCTTTCTCGACACCCCTTTGTACGAGCCTTCCTCCCACACACAGTGCTGACGTCCACACACTGCCCTCTCCACGGATCCCGTTGCTTTCTGTGAAAGAACTCTACTACCTCTCTTGTGGCTCAGCCGCCCCGGTGCCTCACCACCCGTCTGTCCACACTCTCGTTCTCTCACCAGATTCCTCCACCATAGCAAGCAGGATATTGCCCTCATCACTGCCTCATTATCAATCTGCTCTCAGGAAGGTCACCAACGGTGACCCACTGTCAAATCCCATGGTCTCTTTGCTGAGTTTCTTAGAAACGTGCTTCTCCTCTGCTGTTGGCCTGCAGATCATCACCCATTCAGATGTTCCTTTATTTCTAGTTGTCTTGTTTACGCCTCCAGTGTGAATCTCTATTCTTCTCCTCCCCTCCCCCTTAACTGTAGCCCTCCCCTTTAACTGTGGCCCTTCCCCTTGGGGTCCCTCCCTTGGGCTACGTTCTTTTCATTCTATGCGCTTTCTCTGAGGGACCCTCTGACTTCTTACTCCCACCTGCTGAGTGATGGACCCGATTTGGGGTCTCTAGCCTGGGCCTCTCCCCTGGCTTCCGGTGAGAGAATGCCCATGAACTAGCTGAGGCCGTCCTGGAGAACAGGGTCTGTTTGTATTGGTGTTTGCTGGCCTCTCTCAGGAGCCCTGGTGGCAACACTGTTAGGTACTTGGTGACTGACCAAAGCTAATTTGTGGATGGATTGAACCCATCAGCGGCTCCTTAGAACGGTCCGGCCATCTGTCCTCCCGAAGAAGACAGCCATGGAAACCCTATGGGGCAAGTCTGTGCTCTCCTGCAGGGTTAGTAGGAGTCGGGATCAACTGGCTAGCACTGGGTGTGGAGGTTTGGGACCTTAGTAATCTGCTGGGAAAGAGAGAAGCCACAGAGAATAGTGTTAAGAAACCAGACCCTCGAGTTGGGCTTCTGGGGTTCAGATTCAGATTCTGTTGCTTGTCGGCTGGGAAACGCTCCTTGATGCCTGTGTGTCTTCACTCTCAAGGACCAAGATGACAATAGTCCTCACACCCTAGGGCTGTTAGGATAAGGTGACCAGATTTGAGCATCGGTAAAGTGGGACACCATTGATAAAACTCATACCTGGCGAAATAGCCACATGGCAGCCCAAAACCGTATACCCTAGCTTGTCGTGCATTCTTTCCAAAAATCGGGACTTTTTAAAAATGCCACAGGATGCAGGAAAAATTGTTAAAAAGCAGGACATC